ACAAAAGCTGCAAGTTGATTGACTACACATTTCTCGGAACTAGAACTTGAACCAACTTCTAGCATCGTGGACACAAGCCTTAAGATACATAATTGACCCCCAGGTCGAACGAGTGCCGAGACCTCGTGGATGTCCACGATGTCCACGATGCTAGAAGTTTGCCCAAGTTCTAGTTCCGAGAAATGTGCAGTCAGTCAACTTTCAGCTTTTGTGGAACAGCTGCAAGTTGATTGGCTACACATTTCTCGAAACTAGAACCTGGACCAACTTCTAGCATCGTGGACGCGCAGGCCTTAAGATACAGAATTGACCCTCTGGGGCGACCGTTAATCCAGATCCAAGTTCTTTCGGAGGAGCGAACGCTGCACTCGACGCACTCGAAAATAAATGCCCGAGAGTGCGGGAACGCAGCTTGAACACGTGGTCCGCGTGTTGCCCCGCTCGCTTTACGCCGTCCGCACGGAATTTCGCGCGGATTATGGAGCACCCCGCTCCGGCAGCCCTTCCGGGGCCGCTTCCGCGTTGGTCCCGCTGGTCCCGCACGTGCGATTCTATAAATTATGGCCGCCGCATATCGCACGCGTTTACGCGCCGCTTATACTCCTACGACTTCGCTTTCCGAGCCATTCATCTCTAAATCCCTAAGAATCGGTTAGCCAGCACCTGCATCGCGCGAATAAGTCTGCTATTTATATCGCTTTTCAATTTCACTTGCACGTTCCAAGAAAACGACCCGACCCCTGGTCACTCCGGCGCGTTTCTCGTTGCATCCCAGTGGAGTGCATCGACGATTAATCCGTCACGAAGCCGGCCGATACGACAACAACGTCGCCGCCCTCTGAGTCATCGTCGCCCAAAGCGTCACCGAGTCCCGACGGCTGTTTATAGATGGACAGACAGATGTTTATTTCGTGCTTGAAAGGGCTACGGAAGGGCTGACGATTACTACCCGGCGAGAAATGACTCGTCGATCGATGCCGAAACGATGTCGAATCGACGTCGAATTTCTAAGTGTCGATTCGATATCGTTTCAACGAATTATTTCTCACTGACTAAGGGCCTGAGCAGAATAGCTCTGTCTTGTACTCTTAAGACACAAGACAGTTAAGCCAACGGCACACGATACTATTTTTCCTACTGTACCTAAACAATAAGGATGCAGAGTTTTAGATCAGCTGACTTGAGGCTGAATCCTGATTGACTCTCGCAAGCAATCCGGTAGGCAAAATAGTATCGTGTGCCGTTGGCTAAAGACTTAAAACGCGAAACATTGTCCTAAGAGCACAAGACAGCTATTCTGCTCAGGCCTTAACCCAGTGAGAAATGAGTTTGGGAACGCGCTTTAGATTACGTTCCAAAACGTTTTCTCTGAGGAAATTTTACTTGAGAAATACATCGAAAACGCTCAAAATGGTTTCGGAATGGCCATCGGGAAAAATATTCTTCGGCGAAGAAGATTTTGGAACGTAACCCTGAGGCTAAATGCACGAATTGTCCATCGCTGTACACTGACAATAGGAAAAAAATTCCATTCCATAAACCGCTAGTGTTTCCGATGGTTAATTTTTCTGATTAAGGTTTTTCCAACCCCTTGGTAAACTAATAGTTAAATTGTGTATCTGTCTTTGTCTAATTTAAAGGAAAGCCGAAAACATATATGATTTTATTAGTTAATTTATTAAGGCCCGGTTTTTCATTTTCTGGTTCATTGTTAACCAGTTAGTCGATTCTCTGTCTTTTCTTAAAAACCGAGCCTGAAAGATTGGAACAACCGACTAAATTATGGATATATCCGATGAAATTTATCCGATAAAGTAGCCAACATTTCAGTCAACATTAGGTATTTTTCTTCTTTGTAATACATACTTATGTACATACTAAAATTTCCTTTCTATGTATTGCGGTTTGAGCATTTGAAATTTGTTTCCAGATTGTACTTGAAAAGGACCCTATAAAGAGATCGAAACGTTCCCATACAGCACGCGTGACTTTTAGACGTCTAAAATGGGTTGTGACTTAAATAAAGATCACTTTTTCTTGCCAGTCCGGTCGACTCTTCAAAAAACTTTTAATTACCACTGGCGACAATAAGCTTCGCTCAATTTTGTTGTTTATCCGATAAAGTTGCCGATGAGATTTGATCGAAAAGCCGATCGCGTTCTTCATCGGGTATACAATTTAATCCGTTTGTTATGTAATTGGATTATCCGATTACATTTAATTTTTCTCAGTTGCAGAAATTATGCCAGTTAAGATTTATGCAGTTTAAAATGATTTATTAAACTCGCGACGGCCGTTTATATTTGAATCGCGCGCGATTCCGAAATCGTCCGTACGATCTGGCAAGAGTCGCGACGCCAAGAGAAGCGAGGACGAGTAGACGCGGCGGCGATAGCGATGACCCGCGGATTATGAGCGTGCATGACTGGCGGAAGTTAGAGACCTTGTAATCAGAGACTGATCGTAGGAGGGAAACATAGGCTGTTCACTCTTCTACGATCGTAGAATGTGACGAACTCTTGTGGCCAGTCTCTGATTACAAGGTCTCTAGTGGAATCGAAGGGTGACGAGGCGAGAAACCGATTGATCGCGTCATCGTTTTGTTTTTTCTTTTTTTTAGAAAACTTGAATCACAGCCGTCACGAAATATGCCACGATATCACGAGCCTATATTTAAAATAGAATAATCGAGACGGTCCTCAACATTCCGAGCTATATTGGACGGTGGTCTCAATTGGGGACGAGAAACTTAATCGTCGATCTCCGCAAACGAAGGTCTCGTTTTATTAACGTGTCCAAGTTGTACAGTGATGGACAGAATGGTTGCGACACTCTTTTTTTTAATCAGTCGGGATTACGTTCCAAAATCGTCTTCTCCGAGGAACATTTTACTCGACGGTCACATTCCAAAGCCATTTTGAGCGTTTCCGATCTATTTCTCGAGTAAAATCGTCCTCGGTGAAAATGTTTTGGAACGTAAAGCCGAGCCTAAACGCGCGTTCCTAAACTCATTAAAAAAAAGTGTGGCAACCCTTCTGTCCATCACTGCATGTACATACGCGACAAGAAGGCCGAAGAACCGCGATTTGCATGACGTGTTATAACAAAGAGAGACGTTTGCCGCCGCGTTATATCTTTAAATAACATTCCGCCGACTCAAGGTAAGACAAGCTTAAATTTACGCCCGATGAAAACAGCGATGAAAACAGCATTCCGTTTCGACAAATATTGTTGAGCGATATCGCTGGTCACGCGAGTGCCGTGACGCGGGGCTCGATTCTTTAGGTCGATAACATTTTTAGGGGAAAGCCCCGTGCCCTCCTCCCCCCTGAGCATCATTTAATTACCAGCGTCAGTGTTTTCTTGACCATACCTGGCATTTTTAACGGTTAAAAACGCCGACGTTGTTAATTATCGCGGGCGACAGCGAAGAATTCTTATTAGTCGATCATTTAATCACATTGTAATACGTAAACGTCGAACGTATGCGCACGACTCAGAATAAATGGACATTTTTCGGATCTCGTGCCATTTCGTTGATTTCATAAAATAAAGCACAGTAAAATCCAATGCTCTGCGTTTAAAGAAATATTTGTATGTTACTGTCTGTTTATTTACGAATAAAACGCGGCGACTGAACGCGTACTTTCGTCCCAATAAAATATTGCTAGAAAAATCAAGTTGAAAAGGCAAACGTCTACTTAAATGTTAATGAGTTTCTCACGCTTACCGATGAGTATCTGCGACATCATCGCAGCCATTCCCTTGGTGAGATCATAAATGTACAGCTCCACTGTCGTCCTCATATCTTCCTCCTCCATCTCGTCCTGAAAAAGTGAGTAAGTAACGTCCCTTGTAAATCGTAACGACTGTTACAAACTCAAAGTAATCATCGTTCGAGACAATAATCGTCGAAATTGTCACACGATCCGCATGCGTGTACGCTCCAAATCCAAGTGTGTAAATCGCGAGGTCTCTTACGCATTTGCAAGCGTGTTACTTTTACAATTTTACACACTTGTACGTACGCGCGTGAAATCGTAAAAGTAACACACATAGAGGAAAGTGAGATAGTAGGTTCTCCACGTCGAAATTCAATGACAAATCTTTTCTTCGCAACGATTGCACGATCTAACAATCAATTTTCCACCAAACAGATTTCACTCCAGGCAATAAATTCACGAAGAAACCAATATATGACGCCGATTAATTCAACAAAGAACCTCGCTCTATTTCATACTAGAAACTTATCTCACAACAGGAGACTATAAATACGTAAAAATCCAAGTGTGCAGTTTGTACACACGCGAGTGTGTAAAATCGTAAAAATAACACACATAGCTCGACGATTTACACCCTCGGATGTGGAAGTGTATTCCCGGATCTATGTAAAATACCCCGTACGACTACTCTCGACTTTCACGCGCGAAATCCACGTGTCCACCTCAACCTCGTGAGGATCGCCCCGAGTATTCTGATGCTATACACCGTTCCGAAGTACCTTACGACGTCGGGCTCTGCCGCGTGTAACGACTTGGGGACGCAAATACACCGTTCTCGACTCGGGGAGCCGTGCTCCCGCACTATACGACCCGAGAGCGTCTCTCAAAGAGACGCTCCCGTCGAGACGTCGACGGGGAAACGACTCGAGGCGGGAACGCCGGCCACGAGACGGTTTTCGATGCAACGCCCGCGCGAACCATCCTCATCGGCCGCGGGGACAAATGTTGCGCGAGTATCCAAAAATAAGGACTTTTCGGGCCTCGATTATTTGGCCACCTTCGAGGCTAAATGGCCTCCATTTATCTCGAGTGATTGTGGAGAAAAATATCCATTCTTGTAGCTACGAACAATCCGATAAACGGTACCCAAAGCTCCCGCGGCATTTACGATCGCCTCGCTGAGAGAAGGAAGTTGTTGGATGTGACCAAATAAAGTTTACCTGCTACAATTCCTTTAGTTTGAATATTTCCGTTTTCAAGTTAAACACACGTCAATTCTCGGGAGTTAACAAGCACTTGCTTGTGACGCACGTAGTTGAAGCAAGAAATAGATGTTTCATTAGACACTTCAGTTTTCTCAGTGCCGCGACGAGAAAGAGAGAAGACGTTGATATAATTAAATACTGTTGAAGTGCAATAATTTCCTTAATTTCAATATTTCTGTTCTTAAGTTCAACACACGTCAATTCTCGGCAAATTAACAAATACTTGCTTGTGACGCACATGCTCTCTAAAAGTCAATCAGTGCGTTACTGACGACAGTTATAAGTATAGCATTGAATAATTCAGTGCTACGCCTTATACCTTACTTATACCTGCGAATCAGTCAATATTCACTGTTTTCAGTGATAATCTATTAAATTTTAGAGAGTAGTTAAGTCAAGAAATAAATGTTTTATTAGACACTTAATTTTTCTCAGTGCTGCGACGAAAGAGAGAGAAGGTAGCGATATAATTAAATAAAGTTGAATTGCAATAATTTCCTTAATTTCAATATTTCTGTTTTCATGGTAAACAACACGTCAATTCTCGGGAATTAACAAGCACCTGCTTGTGACGCACGTATAGTTGAATCAAGAAATAGATGTTTTATCCCACACAGCACAGAAAGATTGCAGGAAGATTGCAGAAATGTTACATTGCAAGATTGCAATATTGCAGCAACGTTGCGCAACATTGCTGCAACGTTTCTGGAGGATTGCAGCAACGTTGATTTCAACGCCCTCAGAGAGATTGCAATGCAACATTATAGCAATGTTGCAGTGCAATATTTTTGGAATAATTTGTTGTTGTACACAAGCAGAGAATTTACTAATTACATATACATCCGGGCCTTTTTCAATGCATAATAGCAAGCTATTGCGAAGCAACCTAAGGAGGTTATATCGCTTCGCAATAAATGGAGATTGCGAGCAACATCGCACTGATCAAGTACTTAATAATTCGCCCATTATTGGTATCAACAAAAATAACATTATAAAATTCTCGTAATTAGAAAAATTTTTTTAATAGAAAATATAGTATTTTCATTATTTTTGAAACATTGTTGCAATAATACTATCGAAAGTTTGCAATTTTATATCCCTGCAATGTCTCTGCAAAATTGCAACGTTTCTGCAATGTAACTGCAACCATCTGTGCTGTATGGGATTTGACACTTAATTTTTTTTCGTGCTGCGACGAGAAAGAGAAGTTGTTGATATCATTAAATGAAGTTAATTTACAATATTTTTCTTAATTTCAATACTTTTCTTGTTCAAGTTGAACACACCTCAATTTTTGAGAATTAACGAGCGTTTACTTGCGGCAGCCGCATGTTACAGTTGAATCAAGTTGCATCAAGAAATAGGTTTGCCATTCTAAATTTTTCTCAGTGCTACGACGAGAGGATAATTCGGAGAAAGCGCGGTACTCCCGGCCCCTCTTTCTTACGTCGTGTCTCCCCGATTACGGCTTCTTTGACGTTCTCGTAAACGGCGTTCGGTTTCGCGCGGAGAAACTTGTCTGGCGTGACGAAGCCGAGGGAGTTTCACCGCGCGATTAATCTGCCAGTGAGTCAGCGATTTAGACGCGTTCGCGTACGTGCGTTACGTGGAAATGGAAACCGTCGATACAGCTTCGTCCTCGTGCGCGAGTCGTTTGACGCAATCTAAATAATTTAAAGAGATATTGCGAAATCGCCAGGGAGAAGACGCGAACTCTAACAAGCGTCTAGGTGCCCGATACCTTGCCAAGCTATCGCGTAGAAGAGCAGACAAGTGAGACCGATTGAAATATTATTTCTCACTTTATTCGAGCTCTTTGACAATTTGCCCTCGCAGCAGATTCCTGCCAATTTCAAAATCCCCGTCAAGTGTGTCTCTAAACAAACGAGGGGGGCCTGTCAAAACCTTGCGTAGCGATAAGACAGCGGCGTCTTAAATGAAAATACGACCGAATCTCGACACTTGCAAGCGTTTATTTATTACGTAACCACGGTGACTTTCTTATCTACTTTTCGCCGCAAAATAAGTCCATCTTTTACGAGAGATGCTCCACTCCCTGAAGAAACATCCCAATAAACGCACGTGTATGTTAAACGTTATTAAGCGCAGTTGATATGAAAGTTAGTAGAGAAAAGTCCCCTATTATATGAATCCTCCTGATATGAAACAGCAGGATTTTTGCTAAATTAATAGGCATCGTCTATTGGTTTCATCGCGAATTTATTGTCCCTGGAGTGAAATCTGTTTAGCGGAAAATTCATTGTTAGATCGTGCGAATAAAGGTCTGCGATTAAATTTTGATGTTGAAAACCTATTATCTCGATAGAGGACTATAAAAATGCTGTAATTGCACCGCTTTTGTACTACTTTGCCGCCACGTGTTTATCGGGACTCCTCCGCTTCAACGTATCATTAGAACCGAGCCGAAAACTGAAGATCAATCACGAACAAACTGTTCTCAAGCCGCAGAGAGTAACGGAGAGACGAAAAGCGGGCGCGTCGCCTCGCGAGGAACAAGAAGAGGAGCGTCGAACGAGGCCTACCTTCCTGCTCTCATCGAGGGCCTAACAGGTGGATCGATTATCGGGTACGACCTCCTGGTCGGGAAGGAGGGAAACGGACGGAAGCGGCGGGCGGGCCTCCTGGCGGATCCTCGACGACGACGAGGAATTAACTTGACGCGCGCGTAGGTCGAGCTAGATGGCTACCGGCTAGCAAATGCAAACTGATCGCGCCGAAATCCTCAGCGGAGTACGCGGGGTCCCTCACGGCGCGGTAGTCGTTCTTGGCAGGAAGAAACGGTAAAGAGGTAAGAGGGTCATAAGCAGCGGCCGCCGATCCGCCCCGCGGATTCGCGCGGCTCGCCGCCTCGCGCGATTACGCGTAGCGATTATCGCGTTCCTCCGTCCTTCCGGCGGTGCTTCTGGAGGAGGAGGAGGAGGGACGTGCGTTTAAAAGACTACAGCTATTGTCGCTGAGTCACGCCGCTCGCCGTCCAGTGTCCGCGTCGAATGACGCGCGGGCACTCGACTACGTGGGTTACGCCGGTCCATCTCCGTATACAGGGTGTCCCGGGATGAAAGGTCAATGTTCTGGGAGGTGATAGTATCGGCCATTTTGAGCAAAAATGTTCATATGAATATACGTCTCATTCCACACTGCTTCCGAGATAGAGCTATTTGAATGTACAGCGGAATATGGCCAATTTCATATGCAAACAATTTCACGTGAGTTCGAGAATCAAAAGGTAATTAACTTCAGTTAAAAGTTAACAGTCTATAATGTAACTAAGTTAAGTTAAAATTATTTAACCTTATTTTTTTAACTGGACATTTAACATACACGTGCGTTTATTGGGATGTTTCTTCAGGGAGTGGAGCATCTCGTAAAAGATGGACTTATTTTGCGGCGAAAAGTAGTAACTAAGTTAAGTTAAAATTATTTAACCTTATTTTTTTAACTGGACACTACCAAACCCTGCAAGGCAGTCTTTAAAGCAAAAAGTGGTTACTTTGAGCTAGGAATCTGAAATTTAATTTAAATCTTGATTAAAAGCTTGTCGTACGTACGCAAGTATCTTCGTTTCAATTGTCTTTAGTTAAATAAACACAAAGCAAACTACATCGATTTCATTATGTATTTCGTTCTTATTACACACTTTTATAAAGTGTTTCCAAACTTATGGAGGGTACTGTATCTGGGGGCGCCCTTTATTGGACACCACATTATTGGACACCGCATTTTTCGATATCGCATTTAAATGAGTAAGATGCGTAAGGATCTTGCTAAAAGCACATACACACACGCGGGGGGGGGGGGGTGCAAGGGAGGCCTTCGGCCGCACTCCCCGCACCCACCCCGCTGGTAGGACTTATTAAACACCGTATTTTGCGACACCGCATTTTTCGACACTGCATTGGCCGCGTTCAGTAGGCACAACTGTTGAGCGAGCGCTCAATGAATTCTTAACATGATTGGCTGGATCTAAAAGTATTAGCGGTATTAGCCAATCATACTGAGCGCTCACTCAACAGTTGTGTCTGCTTAACGCGGCCATTATTGGACACAAACGTTACAAGGTGGTCCACGCTTCCTACCGGCGGGGTGGGTGCGGGGAGGGGGGCCGAAGGCCCCCCTCGCACCCCCCCCGCGCGCGCGCGCGCGCGCGCGTGTGTGTGTGTGTGTGTGTGTGTGTGTGTGTGTGTGTGTGTGTGTATGTGCTTTTAGCAAGATCCCTACGCGTCTCACTCATTTAAATGCGGTGTCCAATAATGTGGTGTCCAATAAAGGTGCACCCCTGTATCTGCATATTCGACATTTGTGAATACGCGAGGTATTTTGATCATTTCTACAATGTTATCAGCACAACGGTCAACAGACGTATAAGAGTAAGTTCCCGCAGACGTTTATGAGGTTGCAGGAAGGGTGAAGTGTACAGAGAAAAAGTAAATGCACGAGACATTCAAGTAGCTCTACCTCAGAAACAGTGGGGAATGGGACATATATTCACATGAACACTTTTGCTTGAAATGACCGATACTATCACCTCCCAGAATATTGACCTTTCCTCCTGGGACACCCTATATAGGTGTTTTTCCGATATGCGGTTTCTTGCGTGTCTCTTGTGATTTCACAGTTATTCCGGAACATAATGGACGTTGGCTAGAAACCCTGGCAAGGCGCGTTTTGGAATATGCACGCGCGTCGAAAATACGCGTGATTCTCCGTTCCGGATAGAGAATGCGACGCGAATCGAGAGAATCTCTCCCAAGAGGGAGGGGGAAATATTTCTAAATTTGACAACGCAGATATGTGAGTGTCTCTCGAAAGAGAGACGCGATGATTTTTCGCGGCTGAAATAAACGTGGAGTCTGCGGCTATACGGAGCTGGCGAGAAAACGTCGCAATTGTGAACGTTCGTCAACGACGGATTCGCGGGCCTCCGGGGAATTCGCGAGGCTCGAGCCTGCTAGATCTAATCGCGCTAAAATTCCTCGTTCGCCGGCGAAAGATGCGCCAGCGTCCACTTTATTTATATCCGAGTGCGATCACCTGGCAAAATTGCCGATTGCCGCCACCGTGGCCATGACCAGATAACAATTCTCGACTCATCGCTCGTTCCCGCAACCATGCGAATTTCGATGATCCACGTGTACGCGGATAAACGCAACTAAACGCAGCTAAATGTCTGTTAATTCTGGTCGACCGTTAACTTTTCAGAGTAGTCAACTTCTATTGTTTATTCCGAAAAATTGAAGCTAATCTTGGTGAACGTGGACGTTAATCGGAGTTTCAACAAAGTCATCACCCTCATTCGAAAGAGAAACCAGGGTTGGCAAAGTTACTTTATGAAAGTATCTAGTTATAGTTAGTTTATTCGCTAAAAATGTAACTAGATATAGTTACAAGTTAAAGCCTTCACACATAAAATTCCGTAAAGACGTAAAACGTAAGCGTAAGAAAAGCAACAGATTGGATTTGCAACTGCTTGCGTTATTGTCTTACGTTCTCGACTGTGATTGGTCGATTTTCTTATGCTTACGTTTTACGTCCTTACGGAATTTTATGTGTGAAGGCCTTAAGCCTCGTCTACATAGAAGTCGTAAAGTCGTAGTCGTAAGAATAGTCGACTATGATTGGTCAATTCTTATGTGCCTGACGGAATTAACCAATCGCAGTCGATTATTCTTACGACTACGACTCTGCAACTCGCATTGTAGACTACGCATTACAGTTACTCAAAAAGTAACGAATCGTTACTTTGCAGTTACTTTCTTGCGACGAAAATTAAAATATATCTGCATTTGAATTGTTAAGTGTCTATAAAAACGTTTATGTGCAGATGCAAGGTTTAATGCAATCTGTGGTGGTTTAAAAAATATATAAAGTAACTATTAATATAACTGTTAAATTATAGTTGCTAGTTATCGAAAGAAAAATGTAACTGAGTTAAGTTTTACAGTTGCAGATGGAGAGAACAAAAAAAGTAACTGTAATTAACTTCGTTACAAGGGGTGCTTTCGCGACGTAGATCAAAATGATCCGGATCAAAATGATCCGTGCTATGATTGGTCAAATCTGGAATTTCATTGAATAAAATTTCAATGAGATGCTACGAAATTTCAGATTTGACCATCATAGCACGGATCATTTTGATCCGGATCATTTTGATCTACGTCGCGAAAGCACCCAAGTATAACTTCGTTACTTCCAACCCCGAGAGAAACATATACGAAAATTTTGCTCTCACAGAAAAGTCGAAAGGTCTGAAAACCACGCGAATGGCTAATCAACCTTTCTGTAAGAGCAGAATTTTCGCATACGTTTCCCCTTCGAGTAAATTCAACAAAATCCGTGCCCCCTGATCGCCTCCCGCCAATCTAGGCAAACCGAGACGCGCGTCCGCGCGTCTCGCGGGCGAGGGTGCGAGCGCAGCGCGCGCAGCGTCGGAAACGCGCGACGCGCACAACCGATCTCGACGAGCGTCGCGCTGCGTCGCGCGCCGGATATGCTATATCGACGGCGCTCCGGCTCTTTCGAAAGTGTGCGCCCAGGGGTCGGCGTCCGCTTCTACCCCGCCGCAGGGCAGGTTGCATAGTGCTCGGAGATCGCCGCGGGAGAGAGGAGAGCGTTTGCGAGTGGCGTCGCAGGCGTCGTCCTCGTCGTCCTTGTCGTCTGTCGCGCGCGCGATTACGGTCGTTCGATCGACGCTCGGACGGACGGCCGAGGAGCCAAGAAGAGAGACAGAGAGAGAAAGAGGAGCAGAGAAAGAGAGAGAGAGAGAGAGAGAAAGAGAGAGGAAAAAAAAAGAGGAACGAGATCGCGCGAGGGCGAGAGAATTTCGGAGTCGCCGCCGGAGAGAAGAGCGGCGCGCGCCAAGCGAGAGAGACGACTTACCCCGACGCGACGCGACGCGACGTCAAGCAAGGCCCCCCCGGGGACTCGTCTCGATTCGACTCGATTCGACTCGCACTCGCCTCTCGCCTCCGCTCCGGTCGACCAGTGGCAGGGACGCCCGCCCGCCCGCTCGCTCGTTCGTTCGTTCGTTCGCTCGCTCGCTCGTCTGGGCCCTGGCCTGTGGTGCCTCGTCGAGATCTCTCGCGGGAGTTGGTTGTACCGCGCCGAGCGTGACGGCGGCGAATCCGTGGCGCGTCGTGTCGTGTCCAGGCGGGGTGACTCTCAGTTCCGCGCGCGCTCAGCTGACTCCCGTTCCCACGGCTCTACGGTTTACGTTGCGCGTCGCGGACGGAGTGCGGGACTAAAGGGGCGCGTGTGCGGTCGCGTGGCGACATCGGTAATATCGGTATCCGGTAATCATCGGTGCCCGTCGCAGAGAATACGACTCGGTCGGCCGCCAGCAGGAGAGAGAGAGAGAGAGAGAGGGAGAGAGAACGCTAGGAGCGTACGCGAGGCGGACGGAGAAGGAGACAGGCGTGGAGGTTAGGTCAGCCCCACCGACGTTGACTCGACAGTTTTCTTGGCCGCGCGGAGCGTCGCCGCGACGCTAGGGACTTTGGCGCCGCCGCACACTCGTGCGGCCGTACGACACAGCGGGCTGAACAGCTGATGCTCCACGGACACCGGCGAGATGTCAAATATCGTAAGTGCACGCGGGCGGCCCGGTCGCTCCCGGCGGACTCGCCTCGCGCCGGAGGCGCGACGCCCCGCGTTCCGTCTCGCGCGCCCACGTCGCGGCGTGGCCGCGAGGAGAAAAATTCCCAGACAGCGGGAGCGATACGTTCCGAGACCGCGCGCGGCGGAGGCTACCCGCGGCGCCTCCCCCCCCCCCCTTCGTTCCTACTCCGATTAATTTCGCAACGTTCGGTCTCTCTATTCCTGACAGTCGACTCGCCGCTCGACGAGTCTCTCCAATGTAATTATGTAACCTTTGCAGAGAAACCAAGGAGCTAGGGGATCTCCCTCGCGCCAGTCTTGTTGTCGGTTGTCACTGTGATACGTGGGAACCCACACAAGAGTGGCCAGAGTGTCCTTTTTCACGTTGACCTCATTCACATATAAATAAAGTAGTGTAGCGAGGCCGGGAGCGCCCAGTTGCGTTACGAGGGACTCTATCCTGCACATTGCTCTGAAACTGGCCGCTGCCTGGAATGTCTGTTGTACGCTGCGTTTGTTTACTTGCAGATCCTGCGCGTGCAGTCTCCAGAGGGTACAAAGCGTATAGAAGTGCTACCATCCGACACAATTTCTCAGCTTTACGAGAAGGTAGGGAGATAGGATTTTCGCAAATGCACGTCCGGAGTCAACAAGTGGAATGCGAGTTTCTCTAATACCCATCTCGCTTGCCTAGGTGTACGAAGCCTTCGATCTAAATAGTTTTGGATTTAATCTCTGTAAGCAACGAAGCCAGAAGGAGCCACTCACGTCCACCCGGAGCAGAACGGTGTCAGGGATCGGTCTTTCTCATGGAGACATACTTTACCTCGTGCCAGCCAATGGCACGCAACTGTGGAGTGCTCCGTCAACCAGTAGTGCCTCCAATAACACTTCTACAGGTACTATTCATTCGCACGCAGAACTTGTCACTTGAAACAATAAGTAGAATTAAAAAAAAGCGCGCGCTATTAGCCAACTTTGCAAATGATAACATTATTCGTATTAAATCAGCGAGTGCATGCGTAAGGAAACTTTATAACGAGCTACAAACTGCAGGAAACTTGAAGGCTCTTGTGTCGCTTTGCAGAATCAGGCCCAATGGACACTGCAAACGGAATTACAAACCGTTCATCTGGTATTTCGCGATCTCCGTCGAGTGTAGTCGAGAATGACATCGACGAGCAATTGTGGAAGCTGGACGGCAAGATCCAGCGTAAACGCGACGAGAAACTGTAAGAAGTTGTGTCTAATAGCGAATTCGGTTGCTTGCACCGAGTTGCACGCTAAATGCGCACTAATGCTTGTTTACAGTCGATTCTTATATTTAAAGATCATCTGAAGTGTCTCTTGAAATATTTCTTAGCCTGTAAAACGATCTGTACGGCGTCCAAACGGGTCATTTTTTTCTTTTTGCTAAATACACTTGGAAATGTATTTACAACGAAGTTAAATATAAGAATTGACTATAAACAAATCTTGGTGTACACTCGGTGCGCACTAGTGCAAACAACCGAATTCGCTATAAAAGCAGGGTTGGGAAAGTTACTTTATAAAAGTAACTAGTTACAGTTACAAGTTCCAAGTTACCAATTCTGAAAAGTAACGCGTTACAGTTACAGTTACTCGAAAAGTAACGAATCGTTACTTTGCAGTTACTCCCTTGCAATAGAAATAATAATAACGAATCTGCATCTGAATTGTAAAGCGGCGGCCTTAGCGGAAAAATTTCTATAAATAACTACAAAAAGTTGATTTGAAATAGAAATTTTTATATCTTCGTTGAAACATTTATTTCTTTGTAAAAATATCTATAAAATAGTATCACAAATTACAATGTTCTCAAATCAAGAAATTATTGCAAATAGTATTTCATGAAAATGTACAATTTTGTAAAAATTAGTACAAAACTGTACTAGTTTAAAAAATTTGAGAAACAACGAAATCGTAAAGAATTAAAACATCTGCTTACTTGTAAAATATTACAAAAATGAACAAAAGTGTTCCAATTCTGGCATTTTTATGTTGATTTTTGTAACACTTTTTAAATTTACGTAGAATTTCTTAGATTCTGGCGGTTATATTTAATTTTTTTGTAGAATTTTGTAGAATTATTTCCGGCAGGGGATAAAGGCGTTTATGCGCAATGCAAATGCAAGGCCTAATGCGATCTGTGGAGGTTGAAAAAATATATAAAGTAACTATTAATGTAACTATTAAATTAGTTACTAGTTATCGAACAAATGTATCTGAGTGTTACAGTTACAGATGTAGAGAAAGTAACGAAGTTAAGTTAGAGTTACCAAAAAGAAGTAACTGTAACTGTAACTTCGTTACAAGTAACGAGTTACTTTCCAACCCTGCTATAAAGTGATTCGGAGATAGTGTCAAAGTGGGAAAGGGCAATTGATTTTTACAGTTGTCGGCATGGAGCGAGAGGATGCTGCGTTCACTGTTCGCCCCTGGAACCCTTTGACGAATTTTACCTGAAGGAACAAAATATCAAGCATCTGTCCTTTCATTCATATCTCAGGAAGCTCACTGCCGGAGTTGATAGGTGCGTGCAAAGTGCGCCGTGAAATGACTGGAGAAACGTTACAAGATATTCGACTGTGTCTCGTATATATACGTGTATATATATTTTTTTTGTCGTAGGGGCAAGTTCATACAATTAGACGACATAAGCTGCCGTATAAAGACTGGCTGCAAGGACCATCCGCCGTGGCCGCGAGGGATCTGCAGCAAGTGCCAACCGAACTCAATCACTCTGAACCGCCAGACTTATCGGCACGTGGACAACGTCATGTTCGAAAATGCTAGTTTAGTAGAACGTTTTCTTAATTACTGGCGCAGCACTGGGCACCAACGTATCGGCTATCTGTACGGAAAATACGAAGTACATTCGGATGTTCCGCTAGGAATTAGAGCAGTCGTTGCGGCCATATACGAACCACCGCAGGTACATAGCGCTCGTACAATCTTCGACAAATCTATAAACATACATTTTTGGTTAACAAGTATCGAGATAACGTTCGCGTTATATATTTCTCTCTTTTTTTTCTTGGTCAGGAAAGTACAAAAGACACGATAAGACTTCTGCCGGACGAGAAGGAAGCGTTAGTCGAGGAATTAGGCCGGACACTTAATCTGAGGAGAGTCGGATGGATTTTCACCGACCTCATTGCCGACGATGTCAAGAAGGGAACGGTAATTTGATACACTTTTATTCCTCATATAATTCATTCTCAAAAAACGAACTCGTACGTGCGGCGATTAACCTCGTCAGTTTTATTCGGTCAGGTCAAACACGTCCGCAATATAGAAAGCCATTTCCTATCTGCTCAAGAGTGCATTATGGCTGGGTACTTTCAAAATCGGTACCCAAACCCCTGCCGCTTCTCGCCTAACGGTTATTTCGGCTCAAAATTTGTAACTGTCTGCGTCACAGGTAAGACAATCTTATTTCTAACATATGCATTCTGTTTTTTTTTGTTTGTTTCAAAGATATTGGGTTGATTAAAAAGTTCGTTTCTTGCGTCGTATCAGGGCACGAACCGCCTAGGAAAGGAAGAACGAATTCTTTGATCAACCCAGTAGTACACAATAACAACGTTTCCTTCGAACATTATCGAAATCTCTGCTACAAACGCCATGCAAAACTAGTTATCTCCGGCATATTACAGGTGACGATAAAAATCAAGTACACATGGAGGGCTATCAGGTATCCAATCAATGCATGGCGTTGGTACGAGACGGCTGTTTGGTTCCTACAAAAGACGCACCGGAATTGGGCTACGTGATCGAGTCGACCGATAAGCAATACGTTCCGGATGTCTTCTATAAGGTAAGTTCAAACATATCGAATTTTTTTATTTTCTATTCGATTACGCTTTCTTGAATCACTTCGAATCTAATAATACATGTATATCGAACGAGTGCCTTCGAATTCCCATATATGTCTATCGCAGCTTAATGTTTATTGGAATTTACGCAATTTTGTCGCACAACTTAAGATATAGGTATAGGATACGAACAAATTATAATACGTGAAAGGAGAAGAACAGTTTATAACTCAAAATCGATTGATTAAAAGTACATTTAAGTTGGGGCAATAAACGTTCACTTCGCACATGTATAATGAAATAATAAAATTCGTTTAAACGAATGGCTCTTACGGTGATTACCGCGAACCTGAAAAAAAAAGATCACGATCTTTGCGTTTTCAATGATCATCACCGCAACTCGAGAGCGAGGAATAAGAGAGAGAGAGAGAGAGACAGACAGAGACAGAGCGGAAGTAAGAAAAGGGAGAGAAATACCGAGGGAAACAATGGCGAGGTAGAAAGGCGAGGAAAGAACTTGTCCAAGTGCTTACAGCCGCTCAATCGTTTAATCGCACGCGAGGGGCCAGGTAAATCGGTCGGTCATTAAAATCGATATTACAAGCTATGCGTTGTTACCTCATCACGTTCATAAAAATATATACGTAGTTTATATATTTGTGTGTGTGTGTGTGTGTGTGTATTTGTATATATATAATATATACGCGCGCGCATAGGTGTCTGTATCTGTGTCTGCGTACGTGTACAGGTGGGCCTGATCTTCACTCGCTTCGATACAATATGTTCTTTTCCTCACGATTGCGTCTACGATTACGTTACTAAGAGTTACAATTTGTCGGAGTCTTCCCCGTTCCGGCGATCGAAACGGGAGAATTCGCTCATTCATCCATCCGTTCGAACACACAATCATCCAACCAAACCCCCCCCCCCCCCGAACCCCCTTACGGTCGTCGTGTATACAATATTGTACGTGTGCAACCGAGAGCAAAAATGGCTTCCGGCGTGGGGAGATCGAGAACTGCTTTTCAGATCGAACCAGCCTCTCTGTCTCCCTGAACTTTCTCTAGATACTAGCCAGTCGTAAACCGCTGGTCTCTCTCGTCTAGAGAAGAGAGAAGTGCTCGATGCCCAAAGCGCAGTTCGCCACACTTGACACCATTGCCGCTCTTGATCGTACAGGAGCGAGTTATTTATCCCTAAAGGCGACGCGCGACGTGACGCGCATTTACGCACTTGGCGTCAATCGTCGCGACGTCGATCGCGAGAGTCGCGCGTTCTTTTACTTCATTTTTTTTTAATCAGCTAATCAACAAGTGTTAAAACTTTCAAGTTCAACATCGAATGAGGCTTTTCTTCGAGAAGGCATGTCCGCGACGACGCGAGGGCGTGCAAATTTCTGCTTTGTTACGCGTGAGTGTGCCTTGCCTTGTACGCGCGTGGAGATTATACGCACGCACGTGTGTTCGCGGGGGAGGGAGAAGATACGCATCCGCCTCCCCGCGTACGCGCGCGCGTGTGTGACACTGTACGTAACGATAATAACGCATGGGACTTCATTACGAGGATTCAGACGAGTAATTATAACGCAGTTTACATTATATCGTAGTATTTTCGATATATAGCATCGAGGAATGATTCGTTTAATATATATCCGCACATAATCTTCTTCTTTTTCTCTTTCGTTTCCCGATTAAACGACACGAGGCTTACGGTCTACGTAGTAGTATTTAGGCCTTGCATACATATGCGACGTATTGAGATCTAATCTTAAATACAGATATAACCCAACGACGGTTCGCTAGTTCGCAAAGAACGAAAAGGGAAACGGGCTTGGGCCGCGAGTATCCGAGCGGCCGGCATTCGCAAGATTCTTCTTCGCAAGTACGCGCGGGCGCGATGAATATCTCTTCTTTTTTTCTCCTTTCCCCCCCCCCCCCTTCTTTTTCACTCTTCCCTTTTAGCTCTTTTTCCTCGCACCCCTGGAACGGAACGGAACGATCGCCGTGTCCGACGAACCATAAACCTGCCATCCTACGTGATTAACTATGCCGAATAGTCTCTTCTCTTCCTCTCCCGGGCTAAGATATCTAAACGAGAGACCTGCGTACAGTGGAATCGCGCGGCTCGCGACTTTTAAGCAGCAAGTCGCGAGGGTCGCAAAGAAAATAAAAAGTAGAGCGAGGGTCGAAAGAGTCGAATGCGTTCGCTCGCGCGCGAATCTCGCTCTTTCGCCTCCTCCGGTAAATATATAATATGTCTCGCGTATACGACACACGCTTCGGTTGCCTCGGACAAGACAAGTTCGCTACACTTAAATCCCCGGGTTATTCTACGCGTGCATTTATTTTTTTTTGTTATCCCCCACTTATTCGCTATCTACGACCTAAAACGTTAGCTGCGCTCGCAGCCGGCCGGAGAACCGTGTCTGCCGCGATATCCGCGCGGTATTATTTTCTCCATTTATATCACGTTGAACGCGCGCGCGACGCGCGCTTCTATGAAACTACAACGTCGTAGAAGAGTTAATGCCGATAATAGCCAAAATAAACGTCAGACCTCTCTCTCCCTAAAAAACAAAACGAATACGTCGTATCAGCTAGAGAAGTCGTATATCACGGTTGATCTCTGAGGTACGTACGTGTGTGTGTGTTTGTGTGAGTGAGTGTATAAATGTGTCGATCATCATCGTTATTGTTAGCAGAATCTCGTATCGATTCCCAGTCAATAGCAAAATATGGATTTTTATCTCTTTTTCGTCTTCTCGCACACGCCCATGTTTTAAAAATAGACTCGACATCTTTAGACACTATTGTTAATAGTTAATTAAGTTGCATGATTCGTACGGAGCGCGTCGAGGATTCGCGGAGCTAATTAAACGACGTCGCAACGACGTCCCCGAGCGGACATACGCGCGCGGCGAATATAATAGTAACAATAATCGTCTCCCGTCGTCGGACAATTACGTGTGTAAACGCGATTCTTTTTTTTTTGTTTCTTTGTCACTTTGCGCATCTCTTTCTTACGTATTAGGGTTTCTCTCGCGGCCGCGAACGCGCGAGTCGGGGATACCGTGGCGACCTTCCCTTCGGTTATCTAGAGCAGGAAAACGTGTTGTATACGACGTTATATCATATCGTGTATATATATATATACCGAGTATATATATATGCATACTCGTTTCTCGGAGATTTGCCCGGCGTTGCGAGGAACCGCGACAAACCGCGACAGCGACAGCGCGACAGCGTAAACGTTACAATTTGCCGCATTTCGTGATTAGAATATTCTTGGTAGGCTTGCCGGTCTGGTCGCCGAACGTAGATATCTTCTCCACCAGCTCCAGTCCCTCGACCACGTGGCCGAAGATGCCGGTGAAGCCGCGCATCTCCTGCAGTATTATGCGAAATTGCGAGCCGACCATGCCGAGGTTGTCGTGCCGCTTTTGCGTCCGCCTCATGCCCACCGCGCCCCTAACCGCTGGGAACTTGGTGTCGTCCGGCATGAAGTAACCGTCCTCGAATATGCTGCGCCCGCCGCGGCCGTTGTTAAGCTCGAAGTCGCCCGTGATGACGGACTCGCCCTCCCAGCACTGGAATATCGTGCAGCCCTTGTAGCCGACTCCGGCCTCCCCCGTTGACAGCACGCTGAAGTTCTTGGCCATCTTGGGCGCCACGTCCGGCCGCACCTCGATTACGATACGTCCGTGCGGCGAGCCGTTCACCTCGATGCTGAAGTAGTAGAGGGGATACGGGTTCGCGGGGCCCCGCGTCATGCCCGCCGTGATCGCGTTGGACGGCGGCTGCGGGGACGAGTGGACGGTCACTAGACTGCCGCCGCCGGTGCCGACCGCGTCGGACATGAACGTCGACTGTTGCTGCGGATGCAGTATGGCGTTGGGCGGTGCGGGCGGCACGGGTTTGACGGACGGTGAGCCGGGTGGAATGAGAAGCTGGGGTGCTTGGTTGGGCCCCGGTCCTGCCGGCGGCGGCGGCGGCGGCGGACCCTGATGAACGTGAACGGATGGCGCCTGCTGCGGCGGTGGCATCATGCTCGAATGATGGTACTCCATCGAACCGTTTTGCATGTGCTGCTGCTTGCTGACGACGTGGCGCGTGTACAATTGCGACATGCAGTAATTGGCGAGGAACAAAATCGGGTTGTGTGTGGCCGCGAGATGATTCGATAGGCGACCCCCGTTGCCCTGAGGGATGATCGGGTCCCCCGTGTGTATGCCCGCCAATGCCTGCTTGAGCAAGGCGAAGTCGAAGATCACCCCGGAGTTGCCAATGAGATCATCTAGCTGGCACTGCAGCATCATCTCCTGATACTTGGACTGCAGCCTTTGCTTCTCGAGAATTAGCTGCGAGTGTAAACTGTACACGTCGCCCGGGGTTTCGCTCATCTGCAGGCCGACCTTCGTCTTACCTAGGGTTTCGCGTGCATCGGTTATCTCGGGAAAGTGACCCCAGCCGTTGTGCAGATCCGTCTCGACGTGCGTCTTCAGCGTCATGCACGCCTCCAGCACCTTTAACAGAAAGTCGCGTTGCTGCGCGGCCAGTCTTTGAATCTCCGACGACAGTTTACCCACGGTGACTAACTCCAGTTGAACCTGCGAACGCGATTATCTCGCCGTTAGATCTCCCTCTCGCTCCAAGTTCCCGCCGGGAACCGGCTAGGACGAATAAGTAATAGGCACTTACGTCGGATATGAGCTGTTCTTTGGCATCGGTTTGCGATTTGATCTGATGACCTGGGTGATCCTGCGGGCTCGCGCACGCTCTGCAAAGCGCCGTGCAACACGTCGCACACCACAGCGCCAGTGGCATCCCGTGTGTGTGACAGTTTTCGCTCTGCGAAAATATTTAAGCGTTATCGATCCGCGAGGGGAAACGTGTCCACGTGTTTGCACGATAAACACGTGGGTTCACGACCCGCCGGGGCGCGCAGGCGATGTCGCGAGTGGAATACGAAATTCCCTCTCTCTCTCTCTATCTATCTATCTCTCTCTCTCTCTCTCTCTCTTTAACACATGAGTCTCTCTCGTGGAGATACCTTCGATTCATTCGAGGGGCGAAACGTACGAAATTACTCGGCCGGAGCAGTCGCGTTCGCGCTCGAGGATGAAAGAGCGCTGACGTTCTTACAACATTATCCTATTATTGCCGGGACCGTTCCCTCTCGATACGGCTTCGCACACGCGTCCTGCGTCTCGCGTTCGGTTACCCCGAGCCCCCTCGGCGAAAGCTCGCGCTCCCGAGTGCAGCTCTTTCGTTTTCGAATCCCACGTGATTCAATTTCACTCGACGGCGACATCGAGTTCGAACGAGTCGCGAAACTAGCTCTGCTCCACTACGTTCTTCTCAACACGAAATACTTCCCGTATCGGTCTCGAGCGGGGGATCGCGTTTATCTAAATCGTCATGTCCGAAATAAGATTCTCGACCCCGAGCAACGCGGAAAATATCGGGGGGAATCTCCAAGGGGGTGAAATGTTGTCCCACCGATTACATGGTTTCATACGATTTCATGCAATTGCAAACAATTTTCTTACATGCACGATTAAAAATAGCTGTTAGATTTCCTCAAAACACATCTTTTTTATTTTACTAATAAGCATTTGCTTATAGAGGTAATTTCACCTAAGATTGTGGTATTCGGTTGGGTAGAAAACGTGTCTCCTCGCTTCCCACTTTTCCCACCAGTCTAGCCGTGCTCTTAATGGGAGGTAATTTTGTATTCGTATCTGCTGTTTATTGTTCTAAATTTGCGCGCGAAGGCGAATCAACTCACTGTCCTAACAGCAACTACTTCAGTCTTGTTATGAAAAAAATAATACGCGCTTGTACAGACGTGAACTATGACACATATTTGGATATTCACTAAAAAAAGTAAACTTTTTGAGGAAATGAGAACATGCCGAGATGTTCCAATTCAATGTTCATTGACGTAGGAAGATTGCTTATGGTCACCAGTAATGAATAAAATAACAACGGGAATTTGTAGTCAACCCAACTGGCTAGTTGCTTTATTTAAATTAATACAACGTTTCGACCCTATAGTTTGGGTCCTTTTCAAGTATTACTGCAATCAACAACAATCGTAATTTACAATCTCTTATAATTACGATTGTTGTTGATTGCAGTAATACTTGAAAAGGACCCAAACTATAGGGTCGAAACGTTGTATTAATTTAAATAAAGCAACTAGCCAGTTGGGTAGACTACAAGTTCCCGTTATTATTCAATGTTCATTGTCCAACAAGTGGAGACTTGAAAGCGAAGGCAAAACGATTACATCAAGGGGTTGGCCACTGAGGTAATCTTTGTACAAGGGCTAGGTAATTCAGCGGCAATCCAAACGAAATCTTAGGTAATCCAATATATTTGGGGTAATTTCAAATATTCCAAGGTAATCTTGAGTGGTATGAGATAGTGTTGGATTATCTCGAGTAATCTGAGGTAATTTAAGGGTAATTTTTGTACACCGCTCGGTGACCAAACCCTCGGATTACACGGAAATTTCGTAAGGATTTCACAATGATTTCGGAGACACTGTGACCCAAGGGGATAACTCACGATTACATCAAGTGGTTACCCCCCTTGGGAGTCTCGCTCGCGCGAAGGTCCTACCTTTCTCTCCTTGTCCACGAGCTTGCTGGACGTGTTGTTCGGCGTGATCTTCAAACACGGTAGATTGTTGGCCAGGGCGAGCAGAGCGGAGTGGGTGGGCAGAGCGTCCGGGCCCTGGTCGCCCAGGTCCGTCTTCTTCCAGCAGTGCGCGCAGAACAGGTCGCGTCCCTTCAGCAGATTGTTCTCGATGCAGCGCAGGCAGAAGTAGTGCTTGCAGCTGAGGTACTTCGGGCACTGCTCCACGTCATTGTACTTCTGCTTGCAGCAACCGCAAAGCGTCAGCTCCTCCAGGTCCGTTAGCACACTCGGATCCAGCATCTGGAAGCGCAATACACGCGTACAACATGTGCGTGCGTGGCGCGCACAATTCCTCCCCCGTGCCACGCGATTCCGTCGCGGGCGTACACGCGCGTCAAGACACACATAACACGTACACACGCGGACGCATACGAAGCCCTTTTTTTTGTCGCCTACGTCGCTGGCTCGAGCGAAGCGATCGGTGTATCCACAACGCGAGTTTAGAGGGAAAAAAAAAAAGTCGCGATAAGAAACGCCTCGTGTGCCGCAACTCCCCGAGTTTTATTCCCGCGCCGCGTCGATCGTAACCACCACCGTACGAATTTCATTTGTAACCCACCCGTTCGCTTCCCATTCACATCCCGCTCGGTTTGCACACACACCCCCCCGGGGGAAGAGAGATTGGATTTACCTGTTTGAGCAACATCACGGCGCGAATTACGAAGCGTAGGCGTCGGTTACTACGTGCCCCTGAAACAGATCGCGATAACGTTTACAATCGCGGCCGATGCGGCTTCGCCTCCAGGGGTGAGGGGGGTTGGGGGAGAGGGAACGTCGCTGAAACTTTTTCGCGGATATGCGCGCGGTCCTCGAGCGACAGAGGCACCGTAGGGTCCGGTGCTCAATTCTGTTGTCTTGCAATACAGTGAAAATGCCGAAAGTGAGCGGCTTTGTCTTTTTTTAAGGGGACGATGAGTTAGTGAGTGAGTGAGTGAGTGAGTGAGTGAGTGAATGGGTGAGTGAGTGTGTGTGTGTGTGAGAGAGAGAGAGCTACTCACTTTTGGTATTTTTACTACAGTGCGAGACACAGAATTGACCCCCTGGGGGCTCGATTCTTCAATGGGAAACGTGCGCGAAAGTTCTGCTCGCACGCAGAAAGGTTGAAAATCGAGTGGTTAAAGACCACGCGAGCAGCTCAATCGGCTTGCAACTTTTCTGTAGGAGCCGGAATTCTCGCGCGCGTCTCTCCTTCGAACGAATTCAAGAATCGAGCCCCTTGTTCCACGTAGCCGAACCCGTTGCGAGTTTATCCTCTTCTGCTCCACGCTGGAGAGAGAGAAAGAGAGAGTGATAAACTCCGAACGAGAGGGCAGATACAAAGAGCACAGTGACGCGGGGGTGAAAAGGAGCTTTCTCCGACGGAACCAGCGACGAGCCTCACCGCCGACGCCGCGTGTCACGCAAGAACTGACGCGATTCACGCGGCAGAGGGTACCTCGCACGAGGGAGAGAGACTTGCGAGAGGTCACGCCGTCAGCCGCGTATGTAAACAAAACACTCGGTCCGCCGTTCCCTCTCTCTCTCTCTCTCTCTCTTCCGCTCTGTATTCTCCGTCTCGTCACATGGTCGCTTTCCTCGCGCGGAGTCTCTCTCTAACGTTTACTACGTGGTCTCCACGCGCCGACTCGACCGTAGACTCGTCTGCCGTCCCGTCGCCGTGGACTTTCCCGGCTTGAAGAACGCGCGGCGCGAAACCGCCGCCGCCGTGTCGGCCTATATTCCTTGACCCATATATCGCACCTCGTGCGTCATCGAGTCATCGACGTTTTCCCCGTTAATGTGCCTCTCTCTCTCTCTCTCGCGCGCGCTTGTCGCGTGCGCGCAGGACACGAGCGACGACGTCGTCCCGCGGTATTGTTTACGTCCTTACGTCGACGACTGGCCCACTCGTCCGCTTTTCCTCTCGCCGCGAGGCGATTCGGCGGGGAATCGATACGCCGCGGCCGCCGCCGCCGTCGCGCACGTGACGACGGGTAAACACGTTCGCCGCGCGCGCCAATTCGACTCGCGTCCGCGACTGCTCGTGAGAGGGAGCGGGGAGGAAGCGCGAGCGACGACTTGAGCTCGCCCGCGATGTCCCGCTCTCGCCCTTAACCCTTCCCCGTGCGCCCTCGCGTCGCCCCGCGATCACCTTGACCGTGCGCCGGAAGGATCCCTCGATAAGCGCCGTGTACCGTGAATTACGCAACGCGACGCTATTACGCGCTCCTCTGCGCACCGTCGCGTCCCGGAAGATAATCGATCTCGATCCTTAAAGGCCTGTGCCCACGATGCTAGAACTTGGATACAGTTCGTGGTTCTCTGATTCTCGTAGCCTTCGCTTTTTAACCCTTTGCACTCCTATGTCGAGTGTGACTCGACATCAGTTTTTATCTCAGGAGCTTCTTTGTCGAGTCTCACTCGACATTTTTTCAAGTCCAAACCAATAGATGAAAATAGATTAAATATAATTCGGAGTGCGAAGGGTTAAATAATCTAGAAGAGGGAAGAGGGCGATCCTTTAGTTGCGTCGCGTGTTGGAAATGTCCAATTTGAAAAATCAGAATTGCAAACGTCGCTTAACTTTAATCTTGGTTTAATTCAGGTTTGTCTCTTTCTAGAGTAACAATTAGAAAGAGACAGGGAACGAATTAAGCTAAGCTTCAAGTTAAGCGACGCTGGTGAAGCCTGGCCTTAATTATCATTGAGGCCCGGTTTCACCAACATTGTTCAACTGGAAGCTTAGCTTAATTAGTTCTTCGTCTCTTTCCAACTGTTACTTCTCAGGCCCGGTTTCACCACCGTTGCTCAACTTG